GCGGGCCACGAGATGGTTATGGTGGCTCGACACCGCATGGCCGACTGCACAGCCCAGGCCCAGCGTGTTCTGGGCTTCCCCCAGGGGGTGCTCTCTCAGTCTCCCCCACCCGCGAGCGCACTCACCTATAGCAAATTAGAAAAGAAAAGCGGGCCAGCAGGTGGCATGTTGGGAAAGGGCGTTAGGCTCCCAGATGGCCAGCTGCGGTTCGAGTCCTGGGCCTGGCGGCTGGCTTTCTCACTTTCTCTCTCTCGCTCTCTGTCCCTCTCTGGTCAAATTAAAATGGAGGAATAAATATAATAAAGTTAAATGAAAATAATTCTTGAAAAAGAAAAAAGCGAACACTCGGGACCTGGTACACTTTGAGCTGCACCTGGGCGTGGACAGGAGGGCGAGGGAACGGGCGCGTCGGTCACTGGCGACAGGACAGGAAACACGAAGCATCCGCACCACGGCCTCAGCTCCATGGGGGCCTGGGCCCTGCCCTCTGTGGAATGGGCCTCACCTCGCTGCAACAGGGAAGTCCCGGGTCCAACTGCATCTCGAGCCAGGAACGGCGTGGGGTCCACGCAGGGTCCACACCCCCCCACAGACGCCGGCTTTGGCGGACACGGGCGGCACCACGTCTCTGCTCCTCTTGGAGCCAGGCCTCGGGAAGGGGTGCGCCCCGGCAGGCCCCACTGTCGGCTGGGCAGCGGGGCGCGGGGCTCAGGGCTGACGCACGCCTGCTTTCTGTGCACTTCTCTGTTCCCAAGGGGGACAACCAGAAAGCCCTGAAAGCAGCACTTCCCACCTAGAATTTAGAACGGATGTCATGGCCTCACAGACCCAGAAATGGAGCGGCAGGTGGCGTGGTGGCTCAGGCGCAGGGCTCCCACAGGGCCCTCTGTGGTTCGAGTCCTGGGCCTGGCGGCTCGCTTTCTCACTTTCCCTCCCTCTCTCTGTCTCTGATCAAACTGAACAATAACAACAAAGTAATCATTAGAGAGAGCCAGAAACGAGCTTCAGTCTCCCATTTGGCAGCTCTGCAACACATGCTGAGGCCGGGTGGCTGTGCGGTGGTGATGCACATGGACCACAGGGGAGGGAAGGCCTGGCTGCGTCCAGACCTCCCCAGCACGCAGAGCACACGTGTGCATGCCTGTGACCAGCCCTGAGACCAGGGGTAGGTCATGCATGATGCCCTGCTGGGGACGTGGGCTCCTACGTGTCTCTCACCTAACGAATGCGCATGTAAACAAACCTGAAATGAGTCACCGCTCAGTGACCTGCCAGTGTCCCTAACCCTAACCCCAGGCTGCAGCTGGGAAAGCTGCAACGTTACTGGTCGTGACCCCGTACCAAGGGTGGACTGGAGAGGCCAGAGGGGTAGACCCACCGGGGCAGGCCCAGGGCACCCTGGGAGGGGCTGAGGGCACGGGGCACACCCCTGATCACCAGCCCCGAGGACGGCACTGAACCACTGATGTATGGGTGCCCTGGCAGAACCCCCCCCGAAGGTCCCGCCAAGACCAACTGTCGCAGTGAGGCCACAGGACCGATGGCTGCCCTAGAGGAGGGCTTCTCTACCTAGAACGCCACGCCTCGAGGACAAAGGGTCAACTCGAACCACAACTTAGCCCCGCAGGGTGCGGCCCTTCTCAGGCCCCGTCGGGACTGACGTGCACCCACACGCCCAGTGTTTTTCTTTTTTTTTTCTAAGAGAGACTTTTGCTACAGGGCACGTGTGCTTGCTGAAGAGACAGAGGGCACGCAATCACTGCCAGGCAGTTAGCCACGCCACAATGCCTTCTCCCCCGTTCACTAAGGATTTCGGACAAGCACAGGCACGAGCCTGGCGTGACTGTTAAGCCGCCGGGCCCAGGACTTGAACCGTGGTCACCTACATAGGAGTCGGCGGTGTGACCGTTACGCCATCTGCTGGTCCCGCCCAGTGTGCTTTTCAAACTGCTGGGGCTGGGGTGCACACCATGGGCAGCCATCTGAGACCTGGCTCCCTCAACACCAGGCTAGGGGCCGGTCACCAATGAACCCTTCCTACCCTGACAAGATGCCGAGAGGGCCGCAGCTCTGCAGGCAGGTCTCCCTCCGGACTGCGCCCCTGGAGCAGGCGGCATTCGGACGTGCAGGGCGGCCACGAGCCGGGCTGACGACGCCTGCTCCTTGTCCGGGCAGGTAGGCACAGACCTCCCGGGCCCACGGGCGGCCGCTCACCGCAGGTGGTGTGTCAACACACCGTCCAGGAGGAGGCCCGGCAGCCCGGTCCAGGTACAGGCACACCTAGACCTAGGCCGAGACCACCCAGTTCACACCCAGCCCGAGCTGGGAAAGCGTCCGTCTGTGCGGCACAGCGACCAGGCCAGGCCAACGGGACGGCACGCTGCACTCCTGTCTCTGTCACGGTCACAGTGGAGACACTGGCACTCAAGGGGAGCAGTGGCCCCCGGAAGGGCCTTGGTGCCAGAGCTGGACCTCGCACTTCGAAGGACTCAGAACACCTGGAACCTCCGGTGCCAGCCAGCGTGCCCCCGAGCAGGGCCCAGCAGTGCCCGCACAGACCTCGGCGGCCCGACGGAGGGGGCGGCCGGGCCACCTGTACTGGACCCGTCAGGCCGAAGGGAAAGCGCTGACCGAGACAGTGCGCGAACTAGAAGCACGCTGTCCCAGGAGTGTAGAACCTCCTCGGCCAGGGGCATCTGTCTCATCTCGGGCGCTCACAGCAAAGCCCCGCAACTCTCAGCCGCCCAGCCGGTCTCCAGACACCAGGCCCCCGGTGACCCCCACGGTGAATGCGTGTGCAGCTCCCACGTCTCTCAGGACCATTAGAAGAGGTTCCCCTAGAAGCAGAGATCCCTGGAGGGGCCCGGTGCTGACCAGAAGGCCCGGCCCACCAGAGCACACAGCGGCTCTCCCCACCGGGGGCAGGAGCAACGGTGCAGGGGCTCGGGGCTCAGGTCCCACGTGACACTGAGTGGGCTGAGGGTACACAAACGAACTTTTTAAAAAATTGTTTTTAAAAGGCAAAATAAACAATTACAGGCACGTAACTAATATTCCCAGTATGTTCCCCGGAGGAACTGGGTTTCGCACCCTGAGGCGTCCGAGTCCTCCCCACGGATACAGTGGGGTCACTTTACCTCAGAGCCGTACCAGGAATGCTCCTTAAAGAGAAGGTGGAGGGGACCGCTGGGTGGCATACGGGTTACATCACTGGACTCCCACGTAGGTGACCATGGTTTGAGTCCCAGTCCTGGTGGCTTAAAACTCACAATGGGGACCTGTGCGTGTGTGCCCGAAATCCCCAGAGGAGAATGGAGAAGGGACTGTGGTGTGACGGTCCACCCTGGGGGTGACTTCTCACTTCCTGCCTCTGTCTTCACCGGCACACACCCTATAGCAAAAATCTCTCCAAAGAAAGAAGGTGGAGTTCTCTGGTGGGCAAGGTGCTGCGTGCGGGAGCTCACGATTCCTCTGACTTAATGGCTCCAAGTCCTGGAGTCGGCAGGGGCGTGGTGGGTAAGGCGCTGGGCTCCCGCGTGGCTGACTGACCTGGCGGCTGTCTCGCTCTCTCTCTCTAGTGAGTGTACATGCCCTAGAGCAAATTGAAATCATAATAAATAAAATAGTTTTTGAAATATATTTTAAAAAAAGAATCCACACCCAATGACCTAAATCTCTTTAAAAACATGGAAAAAGGCCAGCAGGCAGCGTGGTGGTCAAGGCGCTGGACTAACGTGGCTAACAGTTCAAGTCCCAGACCTGGCGCCTTGCTTTCTCACTTTCCATCACAGACTCTCTCTCTGGTGAGCGCATGTGCCCTGTAGCAAATTGTAAAAATAATAGTAAAAATAATAAATAAAACGAAATAATTTATTTTAAAAAATATGAAAAACCTAAGGATTTGAAAGCCTCTGAAACGCCTTATAATAGAGAGCGAATGTGTGACCTTTCTGGTGCTATTCAGCACATTTTTCTCCCATGGCAGCGACTGTCTGAGATCTGACGCTTGTAACTAACACCGGATTTTAAAACAACACAATCGTAAAGAACTTAGGCTAATACTGAGACAAGCATATCGCATAACAGTTGCATCACCGGACTCACACGGCTGACCGTGGTTCGAGTCCCAGACCAAAGGCTTGACACTCACACCAGGCACATGTGTGTACATGCCCAGAACCCTGAGGAGAGAATGGAGGAGAAGGGCCTGTGCTGTGGCCAGCCCCCAGGGAGGGCGATTTCTCACTTTCTATCTTTCTGTCTCTCTGGCAAGCGCACGAGTCCTATGGGGGGGAAAAAAAACTCTCCCCAAAAAAGTTTAAATAAACTAATTTTTAAAATAAACAATGGCATGGAGGGGCCAACCTGTGGTATGGTGGTTACTGGTGCTGGATTCCCACATGACCGTTTGTGGTTCAAATCCCGGACCTGGTGGCTGGCTTTCTCACTTTCCCTTTCTCTTTCTCTCTCTCTGTCTCTCTCTGCTCACATTAAAATAATAATACAAATTATAGTAACAAATGGAATTAAATACATAATTACTTTAATAAATAGACAATAGAGAGCCGTTTGGTGGCATGGCGGTTCAGGTGCTGGATTCATGTGAGTGACTGGTTTCAGACCCGACGCGCAGGCTTGGAAAACACGTCGAGTGTATGTGCGTGCGTACCCAAACCCGGAGAGGAGGACGGAGGAAAGGGACCGTGTGTGGCCACGGCCATCTCCCCAAGGGGTGACTTCTCGCTCTCTCCCCAGCCCCACCTGCCTCTCTGGAGCACAAGCGCCCTACAGCAAACTGAAAAAGAACCAACAGTGGCTATCCAGACCACACAGATGACAAACGTCACTAACTCCTCAGTTTCACTGCTAAGGCCTTCTCTGAACTGAAACAAAATTCAACAATTCCATCGGTTTTAAGTCATTGACAGGAAGCCGTTATTCCTCACCTGTGCTGGGAGGGGACCACCACCACCATGGGGGGCCACCTGCCCTGGCTTCCCAGGGCTGTGGGGAGGGCGAGACGGGCCGGGGTGCGGGGGGGGATAGTTACCCGGGGTTCCTGGGGTCACTCTCTCGAGAACTTCCTCCCTTCAGCTTCCTAACCAGCTTCTCACTGCTGCGTCTAATGGAAGCCCGGAGTTTGCTAAAGGAACCACTGCGCTTTAAAGATCCAGTGCCATCCTGAAAGAGACGTGAACAAAGGTGAAGCTGCAGGAGCCCCGCCACCCACGAGGACAGCTGAACGCGGAGAACCCACACCGCCAAGCAGCGACTCGCGGGTCCGCGCGTCCGAACCACCCCTGCCGTGTGCGTGACGAGCTGAACGCTGACGGCGATCCACCTGCAGCTCTGCTAAGGATAACCCAGACCACGAAGACTGTGAGCCGAGGAAGTTCGCTCCAACAACGGTCACCCTATCTCCAAAGGGGAACTAGACCGTGGCTAGGGACAAGCGACAGTGCGCAAAGTCTCAATGAAGGCCACCTCCAGGGGCATCACCGAGTCGAACTCTGCGGTAAGAACTGAGTGAGCACCTGGTCCGGTAACAGCGCAGGCCCTGGCCGCCCAGAGCCCACGGAGCCAACTTCTCTCAACGGCCCGGTGGGAATGCGGTGCGCTCAGACCCTGAGCACACCGCGGCCCGAGGACCATCACACTGCGCCGTACCACCCAGGCATGTGGAGGGGACCCGGCGAGGTACGGTGTGCTAACTGTACCTGGGACGTCCGCACAGCCACGAGCCCACCCAGAGCCACAGTGCTCTGGTGGCCCCTTCATCACAGGTGCCTGACCATGCAGGGACACCACTTCCTCCGGGGCGCTCCACAGAGAGGTCTGTTAGACGCCCATTACAGGTGTGCTCAGGCGTCTGGGTGAGGCGCACGTGAGCCAGCCCTCGGCACAGCCCACCCCGACCCCAACGACGGACGGCCGGGCCCCCGGACACGAGGGCGAAGAGAGCAGAGGCTGTCTACACGGCAACTGTATTCCCGCAGCACCCGCTTAGTAAGATTACAGGGAGCCTGGCTACTTCCAGAAGCTGCGTGACGCGGCATTCCAGGACGAGAGAGTTCTATTAAGCAGACGGACACCAAGACACAGGTCAGTCGGAGTGAGTTTATTAGAAGTTAGAAAGACACAGACACAGTCACCGCGCACTGGCAGAGGACAGGAAGCGGGCCGACACGTCACACACAGACTATGCGGCAGGGGCCACTCGGGCCCGCGAGCCCGTCCTCGGCGCTGCCGCCCCTCCCCTCCAACCGCGCGGGGGCGC